AACCTGTTTGCCAAGCTTTGTTCAAACAGGGCGTAAGTAAGAATTAGGTCCCCTCGGAGGCGACGGTACTCCAGGGGAAAGAGATCAAGCACCGTGAGAGGCGTTTCGTCGTCCACGGATTTGAGGTCGGCAACCATTCTCGTGGCGGCTCGCTGGCCACGCTCAATGAGGGTGACGTCTTTCGTACGTCCTGAGTAGACAACTTGGTTGGGGTACTCCAGGAGCAAGTAGACATGGACTCGCAATGACTTCTGGGAGGTCGTTGACGTAGATCAGAAACAGGAGTGGTCCCAAGACGGAGCCTTGAGTAACTCCGATGGAGACCGGCGCTGGAGAAGTGTAGGTTGTGCCTGTTCTCACCCGGAATGATCTGTCTCATAGGAACACCTTGATCCAGCAAAGGAGTTTCCCTTGAATCCCGTAAAACTCGAGCTTGTGGAGCACTGGGACGTGTGGGACTCCAAAAATGCTTTTGAGAAGTCGAAAAATATGATTCCTTCGTCCTTGGCTTGGGTTAAGCTGTCCATAAACACGGGCATGTTTGTCACGCAAGAGTGGTGTGGGAGAAATCCGTGTTGAGCTGGGGATATCAGTTTACTGGAAGGAAGGTGATCTAGAACAGCTCGCCTCAGAATGCGTTCACCACCTCGCACGGCACGCTAGTGAGGATTATAGGCCTATAGCTGCCAGGTGATAGTCGGTCACCAGTGTTGTAGACTGGCGTAACAATCGCTTCCTTCCAAGCAGAGGGAAGGCGGCCTTCGTCAAGCGACTGACGAAACACCATGTGTAAATTGTTTGTTAGTGTAGAGGACGTTTTCTTCAGGATCCTTGGATGAACCTCGACGGGCCCGAACGCGCAGAATGGGTTGATCTTTTGCAAGAGCTGCCGAATGTGCTACGCCATGAAGACCAAGCCAGTTAGAGGCTCTTCGTAGTTCCGCCTTGACATTAGTGCATGAAACGAAAACGCTGGGGCTGAGTATAGACACCCACAGTGTTCTCTGTAAACCTCAGATACCACTGTTTGGTCATTGGTCGGTTCTCCGTTTCTGTCCCCCAAGGAGAACGTGGATGGCTTGTTTCTGCTGCGATGTCTCATGTACTTGAAAAGTACGTTTTTGTTTTTTCGAGCGAGGTCCAGAATGGTGGCTTGTTTTCGTATGTCCCATTGGCGTATTTCCGGTTTACAGCGGTTCCGCATTTTACGAAGTGCCAGCTCATCTTCTCTGTCCCCTGTAGTCAACTTTTTGAAAAAGAGCTGGGATCTTTTTTCCAGAAGTCGCCGAATCCTTTTTAGCATCCTGCGGTTTTTTTGGATGAACTTCGTCGACCTGACATACTTCAGTTTTCAGACAGGGTCGTACAAGGATCGTTACATTTATGGTCATTGGGCTGAGGTGTGAGGTTCTTTGAGCAGCGGGATTCCTTTCAGGCTGGCCAAGGAAGCAAAAATAGAACGAAGCCAACATAAGATCACAGGCTTTGTGCCCAGTTTTGGATAGATGATAAACTTCTTTGATAGTATTTGGAGCTCATCCTGCTGCTCTTTAAAATCAGGAGGCCGGTGGATGACTGGATTCCACGAGGGGAAATCCATGGGCTCCCATAATTTATTGACAAGAACACAAAGTGCCCCCATGTTTGTTTAAACGACCTTCATTGCCTTATCAGCATTAACTGAGGACGAAGGGGCCATTTTCACACCCAGCAGATCCACCTTTACCATAGAATAATGAACGAATATGACGAGCGCCGGCAAATATTCGGGGACATTTCCGCCACTCCAGCGAGATGGTTATTGTAGTTTCCCGAAACACGTTTATCACTCAGATAAACGGATGCTACAGAAAATAATAATGATGATAAAAATAATAATTATTATTCCGAATTGGTTGATGGCACACCGTTAGCCATGATTATAATGTTACAGTCAAAATAAAGGCATGACTAGCGGGATTTTTTAGCATATACAGTGGACAGTAACCGATGTAGATGTGGTCACCCCTAAACCGGTACGGGCAGGGACACGCAGTTACTGCTGTTTTTATTATCTTGAAAACCTGGAGCTGAAGCAAGATCAGACCGTTAGAATTTACAGGTGCTGGTAAAACCAGAACAAGGGAGAGAAAAACAAGTAGCACCGCCCGAGACAGGACAAGAAAAGTGCGAGCTTCAGAAAATGAGGTAGCAGAACAACGGATGTGGTGGATCACATTTGGCGCAATCAACCTGGTCAATTTGAGCTAAAACCTAGAACGAACGCCAAGGCCTATTGACCTTGAACTGCTGGGCTTATGGGCAGGGACACAAGAAGCGTAATTGTGAATGGGGAAGGGATTAGCAACGCGGACAACTGGCAGCAGGAAACTCACATTTGTAGTGTACACTAAAACTATAAAAATTTACCTGTTTCGCTTATGCAGTGTGTTCGGGTGAAAAAGTTCCTTGGGACAGCTAGTTGGTGACAACGAGTAAGCCAAAACGCCAAATGCACAGAAGGCTCAACTGATGTCAGAGGTATTCACACAAATAATAGACTTTGTCTTTCACAGACGGGGTCATGCATTAACTGGCACGATCTGTATGTGATCGTTACCGATTGCAGAGAAACAGAGTCATCAGAGTTCTTCTTGTGTCTTGACGAAGATATCAAACACAAACAGTACAAGACGCGAAACCGAAATCTCAAGGTCAGGTGTTGTAGAAACTTTTTTGGATTAGAGCCCACCCATAGGTCTTTAGCCATTTTTTATACTAGGTAAATATTCGTTCGCCAGGGATCCCTAATTGTCTGCGGTCACAGACTCAAACAGGTCTCCCATCTTCAGTAGGCCTAATAGGTGTCAGTCCCCAGCGCGTATAACCTTCTCCTGGATAATCGACCCTGACAACGTGCCGCCATTTGCCCACCAATTCAGTTATTCCTGTATATCACCTCTTCGGATACACCACTCATCGTAACGTTTACACTACTCTTCATCAACCTACTTCGAAGTATTTCATTATGACACCGCTCCGGTCTTCCTCCTCTAAGCGGTTGCCAGAACCCGAACCCCCATCAATTATCTCCACAGTATATCCAAAGAAGCGGCTCGCAGCCAGAAGACCCAGCTCCCAACCCCCACATCAAGCGAGGCCGGCAAAAACTGTACCAGAGACAACCACAGATTGTTCAGTAGTCCTAACTGATATATCTTTGCTTCCGCAACCTGGCAACACTCTCCCCTCACAACTACCAGTAGAAT